TATTCCTGACATACCTATAGAAAGCTTTAGGGTTTTCCTTGATCCTAACTGCTAAAGACTTCTCATGTCCCCTCCTGGCTCTTCTTAGCTCTCTATTTAGGTCCTTCCTGGCTAACTTGTAACTCTCAAGCGCCCTAACTGAGCCTTCACGCCTCATCTTTACATAAGCCTCCTTCTTCCTCTTGACTAGAGATTCAACTTCTTTAGTAAACCACGGTTCCCTCGCTCGACCACTTCCTCCCTGCCTGACAGGTACATACTTATCAAGGACACGCAGTAGCTGTTCCTTGAACAAGCTCCATATTTCAATTGTGCCCAGCCCCTGCAGTTTCCTTCTCCATCCTATGCATCCTAAATCTTGCCCAATCGCCTCATAATTGCCTTTCCCCCAGCTATAACTCTTACCCTGCGGTATATACTTATCCCTTTCCATTGCTAAAGTAAACGTAACCGAATTGTGGTCACTATCACCAAAGTGCTCACCTACCTCCAAATCTAACACCTGGCCCGGTTCATTACCCAGTACCAAGAGGCCTCACCTCTTGTTGGCCTATCTACATACTGTGTCAGGAAACCCTCCCGCACACATTGGACAAAAACTGACCCATCTAAAGTACTCGAACTATAGCGTTTCCAGTCAATATTTGGAAAGTTAAAGTCCCCCATAACAACTACCCTGTTACTTTCGGTCCTATCCAGAATCATCTTTGCAATCCTTTCCGCTACATCTCTGGAACTTTTCGGGGGCCTATAGAAAACTCCCAACAGGGTGACCTCTCCTTTCCTGTTTCTAACCTCAGCCCATACTACCTCAGTAGACGAGTCCTCATCAAACGTCCTTTCTGCCACTGTAATACTGTCCTTGACTAACAATGCCACACCTCCCCCTCTTTTACCACCTTCCCTGATCTTACTGAAACATCTAAACCCCGGAACCTGCAACAACCGTTCCAGTCCCTGCTCTATCCAGGTATCCGAAACGGCCACAACATCGAAGTCCCAGGTACCAACCCATGCTGCAAGTTCCGTATGAATAGTGGGCGTAAACAAGAACTGTCTGAGGTGCTGCAGAATACTTACAGGTATATCAGCAGAATGGCACTGGCTACCAGCACCACACGGCTTAGAGAGGAGTAGAAGTAGACGATGCTGAGGAAAAAGCAGGCCCGGGCACCCAAGTACAGCCAATCCAGCCAATCGCGGTTCAACTCATCATCGTCGTCCATCACTGGGCCCCCCTGAGCATTCATCCGGAGGTTCTGGTTGGCCGGCGGGTTGTTGAGTTGAGGCAGGGGGGCGTCCCGATCTGCTGGAAGGTTGACCAGAGGGGGTTGGTTGGGTAGCACTGGAGGCGTCCCCGGGGCGACCACTGGATGCTGCCGAGAGTTAGTGGCAGCAGCTGCAGCAGCAATTGCAGCCTGGCTGGAAAAGAAAACGTTACAATTCAGAGATAAATCCAACAACATCCAGCTTGCTTGGCTTACTGGGAAGGTATTCATCACGTTGGAGAGCGAGAGAGAGAGCGAGAGCGAGAGCGAGAGCGAGAGAGCGAGAGAGAGAGAGCGAGAGAGAGAGACAGCAATTGGCTGCAGTTTTTTTTTTTAAAAACAGAGAAACCCGAAAACTTGTACAATCCCCAAAAGGACACTTCAGACTAAATCAAAAGGGCTGCCGATTATTTTATCGGTAAAGGAACCAATGGGTCTCCCCCTTGGCATTGGCCATTACACCAGCCCAGGCAGAACTGTTGAGGTCATTCTCCCCATCCTGACTATGCTGGCCCTCTGCAAGTGCAAATCAGCCAGTTCCCAATGCCCACCTGATTCCCAGGTGCCTATCCCATAACCTTGCAGATAGGATCACAGAATCTCTCCAGTGTGGAAGAGGTCATTTGGCCCATTAAGTCATAGCAACCCTCTGAAGATCATTCCACACAGACCCACTCCCCTACCCTATTCCTGTAACCCTGCATTTTCCCATGGCTAATCCACCTAAGCTGCACATCCCTGAACACTATGGGCAATTTATCATGGCCAATCCAACTAATCTGCACATCTTTGGACTGTGGGAGGAAACCGGAGCACCCGGAGGAGATCCACACAGACACGGGGAGAATCTGCAAACTCCACACAGACAGTCGCTTGGGGCTGGAATTGAACCTGGGTTCCTGGTGCTGTGAGGCAGCAGTGCTAACCACTAAGCCACCATGCCACCCCTATTTAGATGCCAATAGAATTCTGTTGCAAACCACAATTGAATCTGCCTCTGTCGGGCAGTACATTCGAGATCCTAATCACACACTTTGAGTAAATAAAAAATATTTCTCCTCACACCATTTTTGCCTCGTCGCAAAGCACCCTAAAATGGTACCCCCGGTTCTTAAACCTCCAGCTGAATGGAACGACTCGCCCTCATTGACTGTCCAGTGCCCTCATGATTGAGCAATTCTATCAGATCTCCTCCCAATTTTCTCTTCTCTAGGCAGACAGCCTCAGCTTCACCACAGACCTGATGTCTCCACATGGATATTGTCCAATAGTTAGATGTTGGCATCAGACACAAACTGAATGGTGTAGTTTCTGCTCAGTTTTCATCATTATAGTTTCAGGTGGAATTGGGAATAGGAGATTGGCCATTTGGTCTTTTTAAAATGATTTGCTAGTTTTTCAATTCCATTTCGCCATACATGGTCCTAACCCCTTGGTATATTTATCCAATAAAGGTCTGAATGTCTAGTCCACATTACATCAGTTTGGGAATTGGAGTCTTTTGTCTGACAGGGAGAAGACAGGTTTGTCTTTATCTGTAATAAAAACCGAAAGAGCTGCGGATGCTGTAAATCAGTAAAAAAAAACAAAGTCGCTGGAAAAGCTCAGCAGGTCTGGCAGCATCTGTGAAGGAAAAAACAGAGTTTACGTTTCGGGTCTGGTGACCCTTCCGAGGGTTCTGAGGAAGAGTCACCGAACCCGAACCGTTAACTCTGTTTCTTCGTTCACAGATGCTGCCAGGCCTGCTGAGCTTTTCCAGCAACTGCTGTTTTTTTTTTGTGTTTTTGTCTGTAGTTGTGACTGCGCAGGCACTGGGCAAAGGAGATTCCACTCTTTGTCTCTACCCTCAAAAGGAAACTTGTGGGAAATGAGGATTTTCAATGTCAGGACACAGACAATCCCAAAATGTAAGCTTTTTAACATACTAGTAATGCTAAACAACTTTCACTTAGATTCAAAACTTCAAATCAGAGACATTTACAAACATTAACTCAGAATAATAGACATATTATTTAACCGCACTCAGCAGGGGACAATCTCTCCTTTAGTAAATAATGCAAGAAAGGTGTGAGCACTGAGATAGTAGGAACTGCAGATGCTGGAGAATCCGAGACAACAAGGTGCAGGGCTGGATGAACACAGCAGGCCA